GACCGGAAGCTGCGGTTGGAGGTAGCAACTGAAGGAGGCAATCAGCTGTGCGACGACTGGAGGCAGCAGCCGGCGGCGCAGCGGCCGGCGACTGGAGGTGGCAGCGAGGGCCTTTGCAAGAAGAGAGAAAAAATATATTCTAAAAGAAAAGAACCTAAGCTCTGATACCATGTTGTGATTCAGGAATTGTGTGTATTGTTGTACACATACCAATCTTATTTATAGAGTGAATATAATAAATGATAGAGATACTAATCTCTAATATTATGGAAACTAATCTAATCATATCCCTAATTGATAGTAAGGATAATAATCATAATATATGTATCCACAATATCTGTAATATATTCACAATATCTGTAACATTCATCAAGCATGTTGCAAGGGAATTCAATTAACAAGGTATATATACTTCATAAGAAGTTTAAAATAAAACAACAAGCGAGCCATTTCCCACTAGCTGTTTTCCACACATCCAAATCACAAAGGTTTGATATTCTACCATCTTTTCTACAATAGGTGTTGCCACAACTTTTTCTATAATAAGTTCATTTCTGATCTTGTCTAGTATGCAACAGTTATCCAGGCAATATTATCATCTCTTCTACATTGCATTTGTTCTCTTGGCTTTTTACCACCAAGCATTCAATTCCATACAACATAGCCACATTGATAATATTTTCCTTTAAGCTTGAGTTGTACTTTTTTATATCATATACACCCAAGTCATTCTTCCAATTTGTCCATCACACCTGAATCCTATGGTTTACATCTCTATTTCTCCAAACTCCTATAATGGACCCTAGATACTAATGTGTGACTTGTGGGGAGGTATGTCCTTCAAGTTTCACCTCACACCAGGGTTGTTGTGTAATAGTTTTCAATTCCAGGGTATGCAACTTGAGTTCCACATTGAGGGTATGGGATTCTTGGGCGCACCAACTACAACAGCTAGCTCTTGTGGTGAAGCTCTCTCAAGGTTCTTAACACTGTGCTTCTTGCTAAACATACATTCCATAGACATAGTGACCCTTGAACTTCAGCAGAAGTCAAAATCTCCCAAGGAAGTTTCAAATTAAAACACCGATAAAATAGCTCTAGATAACATCATTCAAATTGCACAATTCCTCAATAGATACACAATTTGGAAATAAGCTTGATGATCTACATAAAGTGTCTCTGTTTGCCCTCTAAAAAATTATTTTTCATATATAAATAATGCAAACAACAATGTGAAACCAAACAATATAAAGTAAATGTCACCTGTCAAAACCAAGGTGATTACTGCAGGATTCTTTTTTTTGGGGGGGGGGGAGTTAAAAATTAAAGCATATTTAGGTTATGCTTAGTTATTTCAGACATTGCTCAAAGCCAAATGAATGGGCCCTACCTTTGGGACATGCTTATACTAATTGCAGAATACTTCAAATATGAAATAAACATAGGGATGGACCTAGCTTTGCTAATAAAATTGGGCTAGACAAGCTAGTTAATTGCAAACATGATAATTAGAAACATAATCCTATTTCTACAGCAGTTACTATTAGCCACAACAAGCTATTCACAACAACTTGATATTAGAAAACATAAATCCATACAAAAATAACTTGAGGGCAAAATATTGCCACGAGAATTTCAAATATAAAATATATGGTTATCTTGCATTTCCAGTTTCTTAAAGTATGAATTTAAAAGAGAACACACATCAATTTTTTTGTAATTATAAATCAATAGGGAATCTCTCCCCACAAGAAAGTCCAGAAAATATATTAATAATCACAACCTAGTGACAACTACAGTAATTTCTTTTACATCATTGGTATTTTGGGGCAGGTGAAGTTGCTACCTTGTTGACAGCAGTTTCATTGCATCAGATGCAAAAGTCATATCTGAAATGTAATCTTCATGGGCATTAAAAGAATTGCAACAAGAACGTTCTCTGGTATCCCATACCTACAAGAAGGAAGAGAGTTAAATGAGGCCTTCCCATAACTAAAAAAATAAATATCGCAACCATCTTCAGAATAGTGATGGGTGGCTTTAAGTGGAGTAATGACTTAAAAATGACATTAAAAGTTAAAAAAGGACATGATAAATATTCAAATAGGTAGACATCAAATGGAAACCATAACATAATATGGAATTCATAGCAAAAGCAAATGCTAAGAATTTGAAGAAAAGAAAAGTTACCTTTATACAACCTTCATCATCTCCTGAGGCAACAGTTGACTCAGTTAAGTTTATCAATCTATTTACTGCAGCTCTGCATCGCAATAAAAACCACAAATCCTAAAGCAATGAGGATACTTGTAATGCTTCTGTTACCCAAATCACGACAAAGGTGTAATTGCAGCAAATTTACTCACTCATGAGCATTATCAAGACGGGCAATTGTAGATCCAGTTTCCACATCAGTAGCCAGTATTGAGCAATCAGGAGAACCCGTCAACAGTGCTAAAGCAAACATTGGAACAAGCAATTTGAATTCAAACTCATTCAAATGAAATAATCGACATCATATTCAAAAATAAGTGCATTACCCCGTCCACCATTGATGAATCGAGCAGCCCTGCAAGACTCAGTGTGAGCATGAACTTCCAACATCCTGAAACAAAGTTAAGAAAGATAAGTGCAACAGAGGATTACAAATTAGTAGCAAAAAAGCAACCAACAATCAACATTCAGCAAACAAAATCAAGTCAATATTCATGCGAGTTTCACATATCGTACAATTACAGAAACAAGAGGTTCAGAATTTGTACCTCACAGGGGCGCTATCAGGGCTGTAACGGTATCTGCAGCACATATAATCCAATGTAATCATTACCATAATAACATAAACAAAAACATCACAATAGGGTTAGAGCCATAAGGAGGGTGTGGGTTCAAATCCTTCCACTATCATAACAACTAACAATCAATATTTGCCGATAAAAAATAAAAAAAATAAAAAAAATAAATAAAATAAACAAAAGAAGACATAAAATATTAATAATATAAACTAAGTTTAGGTAAAGGATAAAATGTATTTATTTAGGTCCTTGATTTTCAGTAAAAATTACTTATAATCCCTATGCTTAAAAACAACGACTTTGGTTATTGTACTTTTTATAATTGGTGAATTACATGCCCTTCATGGAACTTAGGAAACTAGAATGAGGGTCTTGAGGGACAAAATTCATCAATTATACAAAAACACGAGTAAAATCATTGGTTTTATAATTATAGGGACCAAGACCAATTTTGACTGAAATTTGATGGACTTAAAATACATTTGACCCTTAAGTAAAGTCTGGGCTAGCTAGGAAACTGTGGCTCCAAAGTAACATACAGGTGAAGGTCACCGGTAATTAGACCCGCGGCAACGAGATTATCTGAGGGATGAAAATCAATGTCAAATGCGAGTTTCTCCAAATTTATCTCCATAATTCACCTGTTTAGCCACGAAAAAGTATAAATTAGGAAAACAAAAATATGAAGCAAGCTGGGAAGATGGAATCATAGAAACTCAAAATCCATTCCTTCCTCTTTCAACAACAGACCCACACTAAAAAGAAAAGGAAAAAATTGAAAGATGAAGACGAATAAGAACAAGTGCGATGTGGTTGATGTTTAAGTGAATTGGTAGATTCTGGTAGAGAGTGATACCGTTAACTAAGGGAAGGTGTGATTGCTTGTGTTGAATGGAATGAGCAGAGAGTACTTAAACCCTAAACCCCCCAAAACGCAGCGCATTACTATCGGGCTGAGTTTGCAAAATGGGTCAACCCGAAATCAGTTAATGGACACTTCTTCAATTTTCTTTTCTCCCACGAGTGGTGAGCCCCCTAACCTCCTTGTGTGATGGACTACTGGACTCAATAATTGAGTCCACCTCGTACTGAGCCGAGTTAACTCACAACTCGTTTGGACGGTTCTAGGTAATTAAGTTTTTTTATAAATTGAAAATAATTTATAGATGAATTAAAAATAAAATTTTGGTAAAGTTAAAATAAATAAATTAATTAATTTATATATAAATTAATTTTAACTTATTAATTTTTTTTAATTTACTATTTTAAAAGTACTTATAAATTTTTTTTACTTAGACAGGTTCAAAATATACTATCAGCATCTTCGATAATTTTTTAATTTGAAAATTTTAATCTTTTAATTTTATAAAATTTATAATTTTTGGGATAAACTTCTTTATAAATATTTTAAGGAAGAAGAATTGAATTAAATTTAACATTAATATAAGCATAAGTTAAAAATAAGATTATGAAAAAAATAATAACAAGTTTTTACAGATTAGTTTGCGTATATTTACAAAACTTATTTAATTTTTTTCTTATTTTTCTCTTTGAAAGGTGTGTTTAGAGAAATTTACTCAAACATTAAAATTAGATTATTTTTATTTTCTATGACATAATATTAAGTAAATATTCTAAAAATTAATATTGATTTAAATGCGTTTCAAGTTTGTGTAAATATTCTAAAAATTAATATTGTTAGTTTAATACTAATGTAAGTATGTAAGTAACAAAAGAGGAATATTAAAAGAATTAAAATAAGAAATAATAGTTTAGTCAAAATAATTAGATTATTTTTAAGTGCATAATTTTATTTTGTAATTACATAAGATAATTAGTTTGCTTTTATAATTAATAGAAATAATTAATTACATAGAATCCACTCCTATTTCTCCTTTGGGGCACTTGTACCTTATTCTCTTAACGTGGAATGACCAGAAATGTGAAGCTCCAGTTTCGTTGGGTCAAGTCCATGCATGTGCCAATGTGCGCGGACAAATGTTCATGGAACACCCACACGAGTATTATCAGTATCGGATTTAGACAGTGAAGAAAATATTTATATATAAAAAGTAATTGATATTTTAATTATATATTATTAGTGAATAAAAAAGTACTTTGTGCGTTATTTATATTTTGGATGTGAAATTATAAAGTTTGTTGTCTACTTTTGAAAAATAATAATTTTTATTTTAGTTAATAAAGTAAAATTATTGACTTATTCTCTAATAAAAGAAATTGTATAATTACCGTAATAATAAAAGATAAAAATACCTTATAAATTGTGTATGTGAAAATAATAAATCGTCTATGGTGGAGTCGAGATATTTTATACTTTCATATTTTATTTAATAAAAATATTTATAAATTACTAATATTTAGTAGATTAATTGATCTTATATTTAGTTTTTCAATTTAAAGGTCTTGAGTTTGAATTTATCTCTATAAAAAAAATAATTTTTAATATTATTTTTATTCTTTAAAAATTTAAGAGTAAAATTATTTTAAAAATGTATATACTAAATGAGGTAATCTCTTTTATTATATGTTATAGATTATAGATATATGACAAAAGATATTTTTACCTAATTAAAATTTAACAAATATTTTAATGTTTAAAATATATTATAATTAAATTTACAATAAATAAATATATTTAAATATATAAACTAAATTTTGGATTAAAAAATAGTTAAAATATAGTACAGGTTAGACAATTAAAAAAATTATTCACAAAGGGATATAATTTTTTAAATCACATTTTAAAATATTTATAATTATAAACATATTATATTTTTAAGTGATAAAAAATTAGTGGGAGGACTATCCACAGTGTTACTAATAGATCCATCACTGAGTATTACAAACACTTATTATAATAAATAAATAAATAAAATAAAATAAAATAAAATAAATCTCATACATTTATAAACAAAATGCCTCTTGTAAGAGGTTCTTAACTTCATACTTCTTAACAAATTTTAATAAAATATTTAACAATAAAGACATAAAAGAAATCATCTTTTCTTTGCTCCTTAAATCCTACATAATCTAAAACATATAAAATAAACTAAGACTTATGTTTAGTGAGTGCTTTAGGAACATAATATTGTTGCACATATATTAGAATATTTCAAAAGAAATGTCATATTGTTTGGACCTAGTAAATTTTGAGTATTTATATATCAAATTGTTTTTTATATTTTTAAAGATGTAAGTAATAAGTAATGGCTCATGCATATGTGAATGGGCCTTATGGGTCTCTTGTAGTGCAAATCCATCGATTTGCCCTCCTACACATGCAATTAAGAGATTTGAAAATATTTTTATTTTCAATTACATTAAATTATTTTATTTAAATGACATTTATTCAAAATATGATCATTTTACTGTTACGTTTTTAAATGTTGGTCCAATCTACAAATCTTAGCCATTTTCGTCATCTTTCTCCATTTATGCCCATATCTATCAAGTTAAAATGTTTTATACTATAACAGTTATTTTTTTGATTAGTATATCTAATTTTTCTCCTTATTTTTTACATTTGTTATGGGTTTCAATTGGACTCCTTATGCTTATAAATAGAGGCCTCTACCTTACTATTTTATACATCTCTCACACTCGACCTCTCTTTTCTTTCTCTTTGGGTCATGTTAACTTTAATGGTGACACTTATTACCCTAAAGGTAATATTAAAATAATTGAAAATTCAATAATCATAATAGTCTTGAAGTTCAATAACATTCACAAATTTAAAACATGTTATTAATCGAAAGAATACTTAAAAATCTTCATAACATAATAAATCAAATGTTTAACATTAATAATAACTCAATAATAAGAAAATCCTATTAGAGCATACGCACACCTAACAAGGCTCATGTCTTATCGCATGCATTATCAACATGATAATCATTACCTGCAACACACTCAAAATGGAGCCCCAAAAAATATATGGGAGTGAGAAACATATTACTCTAATATAATCAACATATGTTAAAAAGAGTACAGTAAGAATTTCTAATTCACAATAGGCAATAATGTAATTACAAAGATAACAATTAGTTCAAAATCTTAATAACTTTACTCTTGATATGTCTTCTGGAGAGGTTTGAATCCAAAATCTCTTCTCTTGAAGAAAATAAAGATTTTTCTCGAATATCAATTGTAGAGCTTGTCAATGCTCTGCAAGCTATTGAACGAAGAAGACCTTTAATGATGGAATAAAATAGTGAAGGTGCTTTTATGACATTCACAAAAGGCAAAAAAATAGGAAAAAAAACAATGAAAAAGGTTGGAAAAACAAGTTTCCACCATGCCGCTACTACAAGAAGAATAACCATACCGAAAATTTTTGTTGGTTTAGGCTAAGCACTAAATGTAGGGCCTACAATCATTTTGGTCATATGAAGAAGGTTTGTATAAAACAAACCCACAAGAACATCGAGCCCAAATTGCGGAGCATGAAGAACAACATGAGGAACATCTATTTGTTGTTACATCTTATTCAACAAGTAAAAGTAAAGAGACACGACTCATAAACAATGGATGCACAAATCATGCAAATTTCAAGGAATTAAATCAGTCCCAAATTTCCAAAGTCAACATAGGCAATGGAGAAAATGTTGATATCAAAGGTAAAGGAATTGTTACGGTTGAAACTCCTTCAGGTATAAAATATATTTCAAATGTTTTCTTTGTGTATGAAATAAATTAAAACCTTTTGAGTGTGGGACAAATGCTTGAAAAGAATTATTCTTTATATTTTAAAAATATGGGATGCACAATTTTTGATCCTTTTGGGTTTGGTCTTATGTCCATTAAAATGAGAGATAAAAGTTTTTCAATAGTGTGAAAAAAAAGCCACGCATGCTATTTTAAATAAAGATGAAGATTTGAAAAATGGGTCACTCGAAGAGGCATCCCATACTCTAAAATGTGATTCAAATGGGCTCATAGTACAAGCTACTCATGATAAAGTGACATTTGGAAACAACAAACTTGAATAGAAGAAAGAAAATGAGGTTTCAAAACTTTTGGGATTTATGGAGAATCTTTTTTAATGGGTCATGGAAGTTGTAACAATCATGATTATGACTTTGTCAATGGAGGAAATAAATTTTTTAATTGGAAAAATTTAGTTGGAATTATTGTACTTCTTCTTATCAACTCAATAATAAATTTTATGATGAACAATGTTGATAATGTTGCTGCAACTCTCATGGAAAAGGTTTTTCAAGATGGAAAGTGGATTAAGGAAATTGCAAGGGTTCTTATTTCAAGTGAGAAAATTAATGTTATGCTCGGAGATGTTAAATTTGTTGATACTCATCTAATTGAAAGAGATCCAACAAAGAAGTGTAAAGGATGATAAAGATCAAAGCTTAAAGTGATGAAGAAAAATCTCAAGGAGGAATGTTAGTAATTGACATTTTTTCCACTATCATAATTAAGTATTTTAAAGTCTCTACAATTTTCTGTTTTACTTGTAAGTTTAGTTAAAGATTGCTTATATTAAGAAAAAGTAAATTGTCTAGGCAATAAAAGATTAGTCAGTTTTAATATTTAAACACTTTTTATGAACATTTTCAAAGTGTGAAAAATTGAGTTCATAATTCAAATATATCATATTAGTTTTTCTCCCTTTTTTTTATGTATGATGGTGCATATTTTCTAATCTAGACCTCTATATTTTGTTTTATCAAATATATCTGTTTTTCATATCCTTTTTACAACAGCTCTTCTTTGAAAAAATCAAATACTTATGTAATCGATTACTTCTTCATTTAATTGATTAGACATAATCTTTTAAATTTAATTTGATTTTACTTTTTAATATTAAATTAAATAATTTCAGTCAAGTCACCGATAATTAAATGACAAATTAGCATCAACTAAGCTCACATTAAAATATATTTTTTCGAAAATTACTGATCAATGGTAATTATTAATTTGGGCGGAAAAAATAAATTAACAAATTGACATCAGCAATACCATTGGATAGTCCAAACTATATTAAATTAAATAATTTCAGTCAAGTCACCGATAATTAAATGACAAATTAGCATCAACTAAGCTCACATTAAAATATATTTTTTCGAAAATTACTGATCAATGGTAATTATTAATTTGGGC